ATTTAATTATTTAAGTTTTTTCTTTTCTTGTGTGGCTGTTGCTGTATCTTTAATTTTTTTGTCGTGTACCTTTTCGTAATGTCTAGCCACGCATCAACTATCAGAATTTCAATAATATGGAAATTGAGAAAAATCACTTTTTACTCTTCTCATCAATTGGTCAATCAGTTTTGTTTATTTCTTACCTCAATAGCGTTTTTAAATCTGATCAGTTTGTCATTTTCAAGTTATTAACGAAACATGTAGTCCATATCTTCTCTTATGTACCAATAGCCCTAAGGAATTTTAATGATCAAACTAAGCTTGTCTTGAGCGACCAAGAATGTAATTTTTTTTGTGACTTGTAATGGAGGTTATCAAGCTGGATTATCCTCCATTGCCCATCGAAGCTGTACGTTTTTGTTGTGAGAAATATTTTTTAAACTATTTCAATTGTTTTGATAAATTTGATCAAGCATTTCTACTTTACGGAAGATTTTTCTTGGAAAACAGAGTATAGTACAATAGGTAAGGCTAGATCTGTAAGCAAGCCAGAAACCCCTAAAGCTACAAAAATCAACTTTCTCCCAGACTTCTTACATTGATCTTTGTCAAATGAAATGCAAATGACATCACTGCAGTGTATTTTTACCAATGGTAGTACTTTTGTGGCCAGCAGACCAATAAAATGGGAAAAATAACTTGATCTAGGAGACATTGATCGGAAATAAAAATTCACTGTAATTACCAAAACAGGGTTTGAAAATTGATTTTGAGAATCTGACTTCAGGCTAGCTAGAAAGAACTATCCACTTATGGCCTAAGCGATGAAAAAAAGTGTTTATATTGCAAAGAGTTAGACTCTAATCTCCACACCCACCTTAAATGTCACTACACTCAATAATTTTACACGAATGTTGCTGATCGGTTTAATTAAAAATTTACATGCGTTTTCTCTCCATTGTATTACGAAAAATAGGTCCAAAATGCGTACAAGTGTGGCTTACAAAACTGAGCTGCTTTTTAGTGTCTTTTGACAAACATGTCTCCGTGCACCTAAGAGTGTAGTGTAGAGTCTGAGAGGCTATGCATTGTTCCATTGGATAATTGAGGTGTGGAAGTACTAAGGAAAAGAAAAAAAGGGGAAAGAACTTAAGAAGCTAATCTTTTTGTATCCTTTGGAGGAAAATTATGATCATAAATGATTAAGAAATTAGGTGAAAGCACCGACAAATATAGCCTCCCTCCAAAGGAAAAATGAAAAAAAGTTGTTTCTTTAAATGGCCTTAATAAGATAAAATGGCAATTCAAGGCAACCTATGAAGTAAGACTGAAGATCACCATCTTTCACTGGAGTCAAATACATGTTAGTGGTGTGAATGTCTTGATAGTGGAAATTAGGAGAAGTGGCTTACCCGGAGTCTTCTTCTTCAACTTCCTGGAAGAAACAACATAAATAACCTTTCAGTGCCAAATATAAAGGGACACTTAGTAAACATCCATTTCATAAACATAACCCACACTTCAACTCGTTATTAAGGCAGTTAAACTGCTCTACACAGTAGGCGCTCAGCCAGGTTAAACTGAAGTTGATTTTTAGAACAGTTTGAAACTCACCATCATTTCGATGTCTCCATCGTTAGGACTGTGAACAATAATAGTTTTTTGAGTTAGTTAATTGTAACGATTGTTTCAAGGGGTGTTAGGGAGTTGTTTGGGAGGTAAAAATAAGGAGAAGTGGCTTACCCAGGGTTCTCGTCAATCTCCTGAAAGAAATAAGATAAATAACCTTTCAGTCACAAATATCAAGGGACACTAAGTAAACACCCATTTCTTAAACTGTACTTTAATTAATTATAAAGGCAGTTGTGGTTTAATTTTAAAGTTTTACGCTGCTATGGACAGTAGCCGTTCTTAGTATCTAAAGTTGATATTGTTAAAACAGTTAGAAACTCACCATGGATTGTACTTTTCCTTCGTTGGAGCTGTAAATAACACAGGGGTTTTGTGTCAATTTAAATGTAGCCATTTTTGTGCAGTGAAAAACTTGAGGGGTGTAAGGGAAGCAATGAAAGTAATTAATGAGGAATAAGGAACTGGAGGATGAGTTTAGTTCAGTCACAGTTATCTGCTGTATAAGTGGTGGGTTGGCACCAGTATATTACCTATCCTTACCTTGAAGGGTTGTCCAGTTCCTGTAGAGCAAAAAAAGTTATTTGTTACACTTGCTCTTTCACTCGAAAATTTTTTGAGATACTTAATCTGATTATGTATTGTATAGTACCAAGCACACTGTCACATGGATATAAACATTCCATTATCTTTAAGAATAGGGCGGCTTACCTGAGTTTTCATGTAATCTTAAAATTTGTCAGAATATTGAATTAGTATTTAAAGAAATACTTGAGATCAAGATAATTGATTTTCCCCACCTTTAATCTGACCATAACCAAATTTTTAGTAGTGAATGATCATGATAATTGTGGATGCTGCTAAACATACCTAATACCAAACACTAGTTGTTTCTAAATAGAGGGAACAATAGATGCCCTTCACTCCTCCTTCTAGATTAGGAAATCAGTGTTTTAACAGCTCATCGCTACGCCTGTGCAATATATATTTTTTAATGTCCTCCAAATTTACCATAAGCTCCTCTTTTTGTGCCATGATCGAAATATCTGAAAGGGTGAGAAAGCATCTAGTTGTTTCTTCTAAATATTGTTTTCATCGTAACAGGGTAAATCGAATTTTCAAAGTTTTTCTCTGCTGTATTGCTCCTGCAATAGTGTCGAAATTCGGATCTCAACTCAAAGCCTTAAGTTACACGGAAAGAAAGGATGTGTATTTAGGACACCTGAGCTTTCAGTTCAGTTTATCATGTCCATGCCAATCTTATCCATGCCAATCTTATCCATGCCAATCTTATCCATCTTGTCCTTTGTAGGCTGTTTATGAATTCCATAAGTTTAAAAGAGCTAAGAAATGCTGCACTTTGATTCATAAGTGGGTTTTTTTGCCTCTAAAGTAACGTCTTACCTCACTTTACCACTAAATTGTCCTCAAGGAAAGTGAAGTGCGGGAAAGTAATGTGTACTTCAAGTAGGCGTTAATGAAGCATCCCTGTTCCCAGACCTGTTTTTGGTTTGAAATAAGGGAAGGGAATATTTTTAAAGCGAAATCGATTTATTACTTCAGGATAACCAGAGAAAGCTTTAACGTCACTATGCCCACATTATGAAGTGTAAGG